AAAAAAAAAAAAAAAAAAAAAAAAAAAAAAAAAAGAGGCAGCCTATCAATCTGTCATATAATTCACTGTGTCACTTTTCAGTAGTAAAAAGAAAAACGCAAGAGGATTTTTCCACTAAATCTATCAAGAAGACATGCGAAAAGGCACATGGCTTCAATTCAAAGGACATTTGGAACCCAAGCCTTCGATCGCAAAGAACTTAAAAACACCTCGTGAAATCTTTTACAAAGCTACTAGGCACACTTAAATAAGAGTTAGAAACAACTAAGACTGCGAAAATCCAGTCGGGTTTTTGCTTTGCCAGTTCCAACTATCTCTGCACATTTCCTTCAAACCATATTCGCATTTCCATCCCATTTTCTTTAAGGCTAAAGACGGGTCACAATACAGTGTCTCTAAATCGCCTGATCTAGGGAGGCCAATTTTTGTTGCTATCTAAAATTATTATACCTATCAAAGCTTCAACGCGCTACAGCAATTATAAAGTACAAAACTTCCCAGCATGAAAGGAACCTAACAAGTTTTGCAGCAGCAAAAACTACTTCAAGACTTATACTTGAAATCTTCAACTTCGAGTTATAAAAATGTAATGAACGAGTACCTTACGGCCGCTTGCTTCTTCCATCGCAGCAACTATTTCAAGGACTGAGTAACCTTTCCCAGTACCAAGGTTGTAAACCTCAAGACCAACTTTTCCCTCCTTTTTTATGCGATCAAACGCAGCAACGTGACCACGGGCAAGGTCCATAACATGAATATAATCGCGAATTCCAGTTCCTGAAATTGACCCAAGGAATGGTAGCCACTTTATAATGTTGTCATGATGAGGTAATAACCTGAAAGTGTTACCATCGGGAGTATTGTACTTGTTGCCGAAAACTGTTAAATGTGGCAACCTGCCGATTGCTACTTGAGTCACATACGGCATGAGATTATTCGGTATTCCTTTCGGATCTTCGCCAATAAGTCCACTAGGATGAGCGCCGATAGGGTTAAAATACCGCAAAATAATAATATTCCATTCCTAAAAAAAGATATATTTTGCCCTTTCACAATATTTAATTAAAAGGATCAATAAGAGAAACAATAAAATTTCCTTACTTTTTCAGCAACAGCAAAATCACTCAATATTTTTTCAATCATGTATTTTGTCTGACCATAAGGATTTGTAATTCCAACGCCAACTTGGTCTTCTTCCTTGATCGGTAAGTGCTGTGGAGCACCATATACAGTAGCACTACTCGAGAAGACAAAATTCTTAACATTGTGCTTTCTACAGAGCTGAAAATGAAATAAATTTGAAGAAATCATATATTAGTTTGAAACTGATCTTTAGGAACCGCACGTTCCAAAACTGATTAGCACCCCAATCAGTTCTTCTAGGTTATAACTTTATTCATTTCTATAAATGGCTCTTGTATCGAAAAAAAATACTGTACAGAGCAATCAATTTTTTCCTGCTTAAATCTTGCTTGCTTTTCAGTCTATGATTCAGGTTGAAACCAAGCCGCACAAGCCAGAAAACCAGTAAAACTACTGGGAAGACCACGGCCAACAGGAGCTATACCGACCAAACATCAGCTAACAAAGCGAAAATCGTTAGTTACAAGAAATGTTCCGCCACATGAGATAATTGTTTGAAAATTTCACCTCTAACAGCACAAATGTGGCTGTAATATTATTTCGGTAATATTCCAATGGTTTAGCCACTGATTCTCCCACAGCTTTAAAGCCGGCCAAATGTATAACGCCATCAATCGTATACTAAAAAAAGATTTACATAAAATGACGAATACCATATCTAACTGCAAATGCGTAGGAAGCAAGCGTGACTGGTTCAAAATTACTATCTTTATGGTCGTTCTAAAAAAAAAAAGTTGTTTATGCATGGTCAGTAGTCATCGCATACAAGGATTCATGAACAAAACTTCTCATTAAATTTTTTTGCCGTAAACAAAGGCATACAAAGTAACAAAAATCATGGACAATAAAAAAAATTTTCTCGATTACTTTCAAAGGGAAAAAGCAGAACGTTTCTTGCGTCTATCTCACCTTACAGAAAAAACTAACCTTTTGAAAAGCTACTTCCAGTTGGTCTGGCTTACAGCAATCAGCGAAAACAAATGGAACTTCTTTTCCCGTAATCTGTGACACCCGCTTTAAACTTACGGCATTCCCATCAGTATCTAAAAACAAATTTTTTTTTCTGATTATCAAAACTAAACCGTACTTTGCAAATAGTGGTACAATTAGGGATAAGGACATATTACGAAGAAAAACTAATGTAGTATGGACAATGTACACTACCAACAAAAAATATCTTTGATAAAGGTGCAGAAAAACATTATACTTTTGAGACTTGAAAATTCCGTTGCAGTGTCGAGGAACCGTTTTGCACACTATTCTATGTGCCTTGAGAGTATATATGAAATGTGCAAAAAACTATAGATATGTACATTTTCATCACTTATTATACAGGTAATTTTTAAGGTTGCAAAAAAAAATAAATAAATAAATAAATAAATGAAGCCAAAGTGGAGGAACCAATAAAAATTGTTGACTTTAATTTTCTTTTTCATTCAGCATTAACCCCACCTACCAAAGTTTTACCGAACGCAAATATGGCAGCTTTTTATGATCAATCAAACAAATTTTAAACATATTCTCTTCAGTAAACATAACTTCGGTAAACATTCTTTTTTTTTCTCAGAAATTCCACGATAACCCTGCAGTTGCTTGGCACCGTTATTCCAGGTTCATAAAACTATCTATGAAAAAAACCTCATTAACCAAAATTACTGTTAAATACCACTGCTACTACTAGTATCAAATAACTGGCAATCTTGTTTCATTTTCAGAATCATACAAACAAAAAAACCTAAAATAAGGTATAAAGATGAAAAGTCTGAGAAAAACGAGAAAAAAAGTAAATTTTATTGAACAACCTTCAACAGCATTAGAAAAATTGTCGACACAGACCACATCGTAACCTTTTTCGATCAGATCTAATGCAACATGACTTCCAATAAATCCTGCTGCACCGCTTAATAAAATCCTCATTTCTTTCTCCTCTTCTTCTTGTTATTTTTCCAGTCAGTAAACGGTGTTTTTTAGTAGTTGCAACTGAAAAGTAATGACATTAAAACGTTAAAAAAAAGAACTCGAAATTATGAATTGCAAAACATAAACTGAGAGCAGAGAGTGAATAAAATTAATAACAGACACACCAGTTGCGATATAAATATTTTCAGAAGTATCACAAAGGAAAAAAAAACGTTTCTTTTTTTCAAACATTATTGGCCGCCCTTAAGAATTGCTGAAAATTTAACATCAACAAAAACAACAAAAAAAAGTACTGTTGTAACAGTTACTGCTTTCACCAGGTTTCCAACTATCAGATGAAAACTCAATTTACAAAATTCTGTGCAATGCAACTGGCAAACAGTTCTAAATTTGTTGCAGTTTTAAAATTAATAGTTTTGTTGAAAAATAAATGCTCCCATAATAACTAAAAAAAAAAAAAAAAGAGAAATTTTTTTTTTTTTTTTTTTCAAAATCTGAATACAGTTATACTTGTACAGACAATTACCGAACAACAGTTCGTTTTAAACCATTTAACATCTGCATAATTTAAACAACAGGAAAACTGCATTGAACAACTATCAGATAAACAGTAAACAAAGTTTATAAGTACAGGAAAAAAAAAAGAAAAAAAAAACTTGGCAAATATATAACACGGCAGTTTGTTTTTTTCGTCTTCTTCTTTCCTTTTCATGTTTACATCGTTTATAAATACTACGACAAGTGTTCGTTATCAAACTTAATAGGACGTCGTCGAATGCTGATGCCGTTACTTAATCAACAACCAACAAAATGCTAAACCAGCAGTCGCCTAACTTCAATAATCATCAATAAGCA